ACTTGGAGGACCAACATCGTAAGCTGGAGTCGGTGAGGTTGGCTGCGGTGAAGAATGAAGCAGGTTTGGAGTTACAGGAGCCTGGAGCTCCACCACCGGCGGTGTTGCAAACCTATGCAGTTCCTCTTCAACGAGTCCGACAGGATTGCGGCGTGGGTGCCCCCGATGACTGATGAGTACCAGTCCTTGATTGAAGGAACTAGGGCATTGAGTCCGACGACCATGGAAGAGTTGGAGCAGGATCCATTGTATGAGGCGATGGAGGTGGCGCCTGGGATGTTGGTTCCGACTATCAAGGCACCACATGGGAAGAAACGAGCTCGCATTGTGGTCTGTGGAAACCGGCTTGAAGCTCTGGATGGCAGTGGTGCAGCGACTTCAGGCAAGGAGGAATCCCAGAATCTCTATGCTGGCGGAGCTGACGGAACAACAATCCGATGCCTTCTTCGGAAAGCGGCCGCCATGAGCTGGGAAATTGCAACTTGCGATGTCAAGACGGCTTTCCTTCTGGCACCCAGGGAGGACTCCAGTCGACGATTGGTGGTGGTGAAGCCGCCGCGCATTTTGGTGGAGGCTGGTATTGTGGGTCCTCAAGAACTATGGCGGGTGCAACACGCCCTCTATGGCCTTCGATCCTCGCCAGCTGACTGGGCAACATATCGAAATCGGCTGATGAGGTCCTTTCAATGGCAATATGAAGGAATGACATTGGAGCTTCGGGAGACGCCGGAACCCAACCTTTGGAAGATCGTAGAGAGAAGACCGCTGGATCAGGAGGAACCACCTCCGAAGGGCTTCATTGGGGTCTATGTGGATGACTTCATTGTGGTTGGTGCCAAGGACATTGTGAAGGGAGCCTTGGGCAGGATTGAGATGGAGTGGAAATGTAGCCCTGCGGAGTGGGTCAACAGTGAGAGATGGACGAAGTTCAGTGGATTTGAGCTGAGATGGAGCTCGGCTGAGGAGGACAGCGGGCTCTATGTGGGGCAGCAGGCCTACATCCAGGAGCTCCTCAGCAGACATCCCTCGGTGATCCCGACTGCAGTACCTTTCCCAGGTGTACCAAATGAGGAGCCGGAAGCGGAGGTCACACTGGAGGATGTGAGAAGGGCGCAGGGTGTGGTGGGCGAGCTACTGTCAGTGTCAGTGAGAAGCCGACCGGACCTGGCGTATGGAGTGGCCTGGATGGGAAGACAAGTGACCCGAACACCAAAGAGGGTCTTGGAGTATGGATGTCAGATGTTGGGATATTTGAAAACCACCTTGTCATGGTCGCTTCACTACGGACGAGCACGGTCTTCAATCCCTGGGGAACATTACCAACCCACGATGAGGGTGGACGTCCTTTCAGACGCATCGTTTGGACCTCCTTCTGGAAGAGGATGTCAGGGCGTGATTGGGACCTATGGGGGAGAGCCAGTCCAGTGGGAATCCAGGCAGCAAGCATTCTGCACCTTGTCCAGTGCGGAAGCAGAACTGCTGGGCTACACGGAGGCTATGACTATGGGGGATTCCTTGGCGGCATTGACCAACGTCTTGGAAGGGACCGGAGATGGAACAGGAACAGAATGCCGGTTGGGGGGGAGACAACCAAGCTGGTCTCCGAATTCTTGAAGCGCCAGATGGACCCTGGAGGACACGCCACCTTCGCCTTCGAGCTCATGCTTTACGAGAGCGAGTCAAATGGGGCGCTTGGAAGGTGATCCATATCCCAGGTCAACATTTGGTGGCCGACTTCCTGACGAAGCCGATTGGAGTTGCAGCGAGATGGCAGCACTTCTTCGCGGCGATGGGGATGAAACCAGTTGTGGAAGCTTCATCTGAGAGTTTAGGGTCCAAAGTGGCCAGGATCGCAGCTCTGGTAGGTGGACTAGCGGGCGTACTGACTTGGCGGCCGTCAGGTCCCACGGGCAAGGCTGCTCAGAGCCTAGCCGTAGCCGCGATGGTAGCTAGTTTGGCCACCAGCTGGAAAGCCGGCTGTGATTCTAAGAAGAGAGCCACTGGGCCAACAAGAAGTAAATATGTAGATCCACCGTATGGACTTCAAGATCAGGTGAGGGAAGATGAACCCACCTGCAGTAGAGATGATGGGTCGGAAGAGGAACCTGTCTTTGAACCTAGCCCTGAGGGCTCCCGGGATTACGCGGTAGATGTGAGCCATGGCACTAACTCTAAGAGGGCACGACTGGCTGCTCTGAGAGAGGGACTTTTGGCCGAGTCTGCAGGGACACCATCTACGGCCACGGGAACGGCTCCAGCTGTGGATTATGATCGACCCTGGACGTGGAGGAGGTTTTCCATGCCTTCAAGGGGTCAAGATCGGTGGGACCGAATCCCAGGGGGATGGTGGGTCAGACACCATGTGAAGCAGAGGATGAGACCTTTCCATCCAATCCATCGACGAACACCCATGGATTGCAGCCACATTCAAGATCGGAGAATCACCGTGTTGTGGTGTCATGGAGAAAGGGTGATCAGAGATGATGATTGGAGGAGAGACACGCAGCCACCTGCGAGGGATGCTTGGGTGGGATACACTTTTTTCCGGGATCTCCACCCAGACCCAACAGCGGGGACTTTGACTTCGACATCTAGTTCCTCGACTACCAGAGCGCAGGGCGATCGGACGTCTTCCTCGATGAGCAGTTCACTGGCCTAGAGAGGTTCGACCGGATCGTCAGGAACCGGAACCAGATCCCATGGAATCTATGTCGGAGCTCAGTACGAGGATGACTGAGGGAGTGAGCAGTGGCCTTGGGGGCTATGGGCAGCGGCTTCGGGGACATCAACGAGGCGAAGTCGAAGGCTCGGGAACCTCGGGAGATTCTCAAGAGCTCTCATTGGTGAGCGAGGAAATTGACAGAGGATGGGACTACGACCCAGCCTACTGGGCACAAGGACCTGGAGGATGTGATGGAACTACGTTGGAGGACGATGTGCGGGATGATTGGCTGGCATTCATGCGGGACTTGACCGTTGATGTGGGGTCGCCTGTGGAGAACCGGCTGGTGGAGAGTGAGTCAAGTAGTGCAGAAAGACCTGACTGGAGGAGAACGATGGCCAGTGAGGATGAGGAACCGCCAACCTTGGACGAGATGATCGCTCAAGGGTGGAGGGTGGTGTGAAGCAACTTGGCACCCCCAAATCGAGAAATCTACAGAGGACCGGATCCTGTGCTACCACCAGCCGAGGACCCAAATCAGGAGACACCAACTTGGATGGGGGTGTCTACGCAGATGCCAGTGAGACCCAGGTCAAATGACCCTTGGGAGCCGCGACGCGGTTTTTCTGGAACCTCAAGGGTTCGTGAAGACTCAAGCGGGTCAGAAGGGAGTTTTGAGTAGCTCTCAATGGCTTGAACCAAGCCAGGGGGAGTGTGATTCTGGAAGTACACAAATCGAAAAGTGTACAACCATACCTCGTAGAAAGCCAAGCGCTACGAGTGTTTTCATCGAACTTTTGGCTCAAGGTTTGAAAAGGCCCGACGCGCTGGGCATCCCATTTCATAACCACAGAAACAAAACAGCTTTGCGGGGGGGGCTTGCAGCTGGTGGCTCGGAATTCCTCCTTCAATCTTTGTTGGCTTCTTCCATATAAATCGATCGTCCAAAGTGGAAACAGACAGGATCCTCCACCCTCCGTCTCCGGCCCATCCCGCACGAGCGTGTCCTGCGGTTCAACAACCTCGAATCCGTCCTCAGTGACTTCTTCAACCACCTCCTCTAGCCTCAGCACGGTCTTTCTTGCCTTTGTGCCGCTGACGGCAGCTGCGGCTTGGGTCGCCACTTGGGACGGATCAAGAAGATCTTGGTGTGACGGTTTCAAGAGATTTTATAGGCAAGACCTAAGGGACTGGAGATATGTTTGGAACCAAGGCCACCTAAGTCTAATCTTCCAAACGCTCGCACAAATGCCAATTGCCTGTTGTGCCTGTGTGAAACAACCATTTGAGGTTTTTTCCTTTTTGCCGCTAGCACAGAATCCAAGCTGCTTAAGTGGTTTCTTCTCCAAGGGTTGCATCAGCATGTCCATTTGGAGTCATTTTGATGGGTCTTGCCTCCAAGGAAGTGTGGTAGCGCACGCGCGGGTTCGCTCGCATGCTTCTCAAGCTGAGCAACGGGACCTGAAGACCAAGCTGAGCCGAAGACTCCCTGGGCTTCCATGAGCGCTCGCAGCGCTCGCCGATCCTCTCGAAGAGCGAGAGCAGAAGCGGAGCGCGAGCATGGTCACCGGCGCGCGGAGCGTGGGGAGACCAGAAACGGCCCGAGTTCGGTGTTCACATCATGGCGCGGGCGACGTGACCGGAGTGGCTTCGCGGGCGCGCGATGCTGCGCCCGGGTCGGGGGACTGACTGCGACCGGTGTTGAAGCACGGGGAGTTCATGTCTAAACACCTGGTGGCACAAGTTGAGAGATGTGCGGTGGCAGGATGTTTTATGGATTTATGTGGGTCCAGCTCCCTGGACTGATCTGGTGTCCTTTTGAACTTCGAAGCCACAAGATTGTGAATGAAGATGAGACAGAGCAGAAGTATAGTTGGGAACGGGGTTCAACAAAGAAAACCTAGCGTCTCCAATGTAATAAAGCCTGGGATGCTGAGCTCCCTGCCTTGGTTTGATACCTGAAGACCCGGCCAGGTTTGGGCCACTGCCTAGAGCATTTTCTTGGTATTGTATATATAATATAGATAAAGGGACAATTCCTTTCGCTCCTTGATCTCTCGGTGCTAGTGGAGTTTAAACCCCTTCAGTGTGTGTAGGTTGCTTGGATTTCGAGTAGCTGCAGACTGACATCGTTGTTCAATTCCCATGGTCCACTTCCATGAGCTCCACCCAGATGCCCCCCTTACGATGAACACACATCGACTGAACACCTCGGAAAAATTCACATACGATACAGTAGCTGGTGCAGTTTCGCAGATAGCTGGTGCAGTCATTCAATTTCGGGACCTGAACACCATCCTGGTACAAATCCTTGGAACCGCTCGCCCAACAGCATCAGGCGCTCTACGAGAAGCCGCAGCCGGTGATGGAGCCTGAGGAGCCGCCGGAGCCGATGCCGGTGACGAAGACAGAGAAGATCATGGCGCAGGACGGATGGACGGCCATGGGGTCGCAGACGATGACGTCCGCCATGAAGGGGGCTGTTCCTCTCCGGTGAAGGGCGGCTTTTGCGGTCCAGGAAGACCCCGAATGAGAGGGGAAGAGGAGGTTCAAGTGCTTAGGCCTCAAAAAGCAGTAGAATCGATGTTTCTATTACTGCACATGCAATATATATATATATATATATAGTTAGTGTACTGGAATGAGGTCCGTTTTGGGCTGGATTCCGTGGCAACGGGCCACCAAGGGTTTTGGAGGGCTTCCCAAGTTTAAAAAAAGCAACCAATGACTATATATACTCGTAGCCGACAATGGGACATGGAGACAGGAGAGAGCGGCGAGATCGAGTGAAAGACTGTGAGAGGAGTCAACAACAGATTGGAAGTAGAAACCCTGAAGTCATGGCAGTTTCTAGTTTCTATGGATGCTTTTTAATGGGTTTCGGGGATGACACGGTTTAACAAAAGCCTCTTTTTTACAGAGACCATTTAAGGTTTGGAGTTTTCATTCGTTCAGGATTGTTAAAACATAATAAGGTCGGGCATTCAGGGAAACACTTGATGTTTGAAAGTTATATATATATATATCCATTCATATCCATATTGAGTAATAGTTAGGGGGGAAAACCAGTTGCAGGGAGTGCGCAAACCACTTCTAGGTGATGGTTTCAGATATGTCTATTACTTGGGGATGATTGGACCCTCTGACAAATACCAACCAGACTTGATTGTCATTGATATCAACTAAGAGTCGTGTTTCTGCGGCCATCGACCAAAGCCAGGCTCTCCCTCTTGGCAATCAGTGCAGAAAATAGTCACCGTGCCTTTGAAAAACAAAGATGTGCGATATATATACCAGGACCATCCTGTTTGGGTGTCCCATAGACTACCCTACACACCATTTTGCGGATCTCCAGGTCCCACCCAGGTCCTGGATGGTCCATATATCAAACTGATTTTGGAGCAAAACTGTCGCACATCTACCACTTCTTCCGTCTCCAGGTGAAGTTAGTGGCCAGGCTGTCCAAAGAGACCCAGCGTCCAATGGGTGGAGGGGCTCGGAGGGGCGGATGGTCGGGGGCGGGGATGAGCTTGGCCCACCAGTGTTTTAGCTTGGGGTTGTCCTTATTATTTGCAACAGTTGGTTTAAGAAGAAGGTCTTATCACTACTTTTTAGAGATGCCTGCCTGCTATTCTGGCCAGGCACCATCCACTGGGCCCTGGAAATGGCAATATAGCCAAGTTTCAGCTCTACCCGTTTGACTCTCGCAAGGTCATGTAGAACCATGTAGAACCAACAGATATGATAGACGATGTATATACTCTCCCTAGAACTCTCGTGGAAGTGGAAAAGCCCCTGTTTTTTTTGGGACATGGTCTTTCCGGAGGCCATTTTCCACTTCCATGTTAGTCGCAGGGTGAGTATAAATGCTTCTAAATCGACCGCTCTACTATTACCGAAAAGGGCCTCATTGTGAGGAACCCTGCAATCTGAATGGATTGCATGTGAGCTACCGGCGCGCAACGGACCTCATTGTTAGTGGGGTTACAACCATCAGTGGTTGAGCATGTTCTACCGGTTTTGGACTATGTGATTCCACCTTAGCTCATGTGATTCCACCTTTCAATGAGCCAACTATGGGGCCTAGTGCCGATCATTACGACTCTGAGCTGACTTGAGGCAGCCGGCTCAAAGAGTTTGGGATTTGGTCAACTGTGTATGCACGGGCAGTTATATAGGTAGTTGCACAGGGATATGTATAGAGTTTGTGTTGTGCTGAACTGTTGAATTCAGTGAAGGTATGTCATGCACTGAAACCAAGAGGTCAGAACCTTGATCACGTGAGGGCTAAAAAGGGAATCATGTTGTATTTTTGCTTTTCTATGGTATGCGAGCACCCTTTTTTCCTTGAGTGCGAAGTGGAAGCATGATCAAGCCAATCATTGACAAGCCAAGGTGACGAGCTCTCTCTTTTGTGGGGTGATTGGCAACTTCATATTAACAGCACCAGTCTAATCTAGGGTGGCTTGTTGGATTGGAAAATGCATGGTCAGGAGTCAGGGGGTCTATACACCGTCCAAACTGGGTGGTGCTGGCAACTACCGATCACTCCTAGAGTTACTCATACTTCGCTTGTCCGGTTTTGCTCGGTCTCCCCGACCACACGACCGCGGCACTTCGAGGAGATCGCCTTGGAGATGGCGGCAAAGTTGGGCTTTGGCGGTTGTGGAAAGGCGTGCAAGCCGGATGGCTTCGTGGAAGCTGGGGCCAGCATGGAGCAGCTATGTTGTTCTCTTGAAGTTTTTTTGGTGCAGGTCAAGGTGGCCTCAAAACAGCTCCGATATCACGCAGAACTATGAATATACCTGGCCTGGCAGTTTGTTGGGCCTGTTGGGGTGCTTGTAGATATGTCACACAGTGCAACACAATATATATGGGTTTGTATTATATACAGTACTATACAGTACTTATATAATATGCTTAACGCGTCCAGTCTACGTAGAGTTCGTTGGGATGTTCGCCACTTAGGCACGGATACCCCTGAAGCATACCCTCTGAAAATGCTACAATATGCCAATATGCTTTAGTCTTCAAACTGCACGCAGCATACCCCCTAGAACGTCAAACACACTCCCGGAACGTCAAACAAATACTCACCCACCCAGATGCTTGGACAGATCTGTTTGATCTTTTTGTTGAGCTATTTGTTTGGGGGAACTGCTTGAAAGGAACAAACACTGTGTTTTTTCACTGCGACCTGGTGCACCTGCTCCCTCACGGTCGCTGAGATTCTGTTGGTTTTTGATTTGGGAAATCTTAGAGGTTGTGATTTGTGTTTAGGCAGGCGCTTGTGCTACTCGTACCATAAAATTCTTAGCCCCAAGTAGACCATCAAGAGGGCCAAGAACCAGCCTTCCCAAAAAGTGACGCACCTGCATCGTCCTACGGTATACCGTGGTGTCCGTGGTGCGTGACCGTGCTTCCTCCCTTTTTCGGGGGGTGCGCTTGCCTGTCACCAACATGGAAAAGAAGTGGGAGAAAAGGAACTAGATTTGGAAATTGGTTATCCATTTGGGGGCCTCCACTTCCAAGATGATTTTGGTTCTCGTGTCTCTCTTTCTTCATTTTTTCGCAGACACCTTGGAGCGTTGTGTCCACCATGTGATCTCAGGACCCTCCGCCGATTTGTTTGAGCAACCCACGCAGACGCAGCCATTGAACCTTGGCAGATGGGATGGACGGTGCAGATGGACTGTGAGACTCCGCCCTGTACTCTCAAGCCTACATGTCAAAGACTTCATTGTACTGGAGTTGGTCATACAAACACATTACTCAAGAAGATTAAGGCCAGGTTTTACTTGGTCTTTGGACTTGTAAGCTTGAAAGAGCAAACACATTTTCCAGCCTCCTTTAGTGGATTGGATATCCGTGACGGCTGTCATGTAGTTGTGGTAGTTTGGGGCAAGTGAAGGTGCTTTGTTGAACATGTTGAGGATTGGCTGGATCTTGTTGATGTCAACTGTGTTTGGCTGTGCCTGATGTTTCGCCCGGTGAAGCCTGTCTCAAACGTTTCCAGGCGACCATCGCTCCGTCCACGAATCCACCACTCCCCACCTGAAGAGGCGTCTACATGGGCCGCCCTGGAGAGCTCTTCGCGAAGAAGCCCATGGTGGGCGAAGCGGGCTACAAGGCACAGAGGGAAGGGAAAGGAACCATGAGGAACCGCAGGAACCAAGGATGAAAACGCAGTGCAACTGTGTTTTCTCCGTGTTGCTGGTTTGTTTTTTTTCTTCTGTAGATTGGTTTTTCAACTGAAGGTTTTCTTCATTGAATTGATCAGCCGCGGTCTCGTCCAAGTCTTTCCTCCGGCCTGCTGGCCGGTGTGTTTGGCATTTTCATAGTTTGGGATGCTTTCTTCTTCCCAACCCCTGTCTATATTTAGAGTGCTTTAGGACTGTGAGAAGACCCTTGCCGTAGCAGCCCGGCGGACATATCTTCTCGCGCTTCCCCAGCGCATGGTCCCATGGTCCTATGTCCGGGCACGTCAGGTCGCAGATTCTTGCCTACACCTCTTAGTTAGCAGAAGAACATACGGAATACCTGCCTCAACAGCCGCATGAACCCAGCCAACATATTCAGTTTCCGTTTCCTTCCCTTGACTTCCTTCGCGTCGACCTAGACCGACCTCACCAACCTCCCAGGTGGTCGAGCTGTCGATGCCGATGCCTCCACCGGTCGCGCGAGCCCACGAGCCGCCTCCCTGGCGCACGTCATCCGGGCGCGGGAAGACGTTTCTGTGAGATCCGCGGCTTCGCCGACCACGAGGAAGCCGAAGAAAAGGGAGCCCCGGAGACGGTCTCGACCGGGTGGAAAGACATTGGCATGCTGATTTAGAGTGCAGTTGATAGAGGATGAGTGTGCAATATGTTGTCTAATTATTCAACATAGGCACATGGGTTTCAAGACCTGCTGCAGACGTCAGACCAACGAACACGTAGAGATAGAGAGAGGTGACAAAACGATAGCAGGCCAGAGAAGATAGAGAAGGGCTTGTGCTTGCACTGAAATTGAACGGGATTAGTAACGGGATTGTGTAGTTTTTATAAGATATTGAGTTTTTGTTTGTTTTTTCCAGGCTTTCCATAGTGCAAAACCAAAGAGTATGCAACGCTTTCATGACACGCTTGCCATCCATACACGCACCTGCATGTTTGAACAGCCTTCTCCGCACCGGCACCGCCAACCCACAAAGAGTACAGTACATCATGACACACCTAAAGCCTCGGAACAATGCCTGGTTTGACCATATAATTAGGTTTGGGATGGTTTGGGTGCTTTGCCCAGGAGGTGAATGAAGCCCATGGAATGCCACTAGTAGTCGAACCAAACAAGCCAAGAGCGCTCGACTGAGCTCGGCTTGATCGGCGACATCAGCTCCTTGAGGCCGTGCAACAGGCCTACGAGGCAGATGTTTGAGAAGGGCGGAAAGGGGAGAAGGGCTGTGGAGCAAAGGGGGATGAGTTTGGTTCCAGTTTGTTTTTGGGCTTGAGGTCTTTTCATGGGTTTTGCTAGGTGATGTGGTCCGAGCCATTTTCCATCATGTTTTTCCCCATGCTAAGCTCATGAGTCTGTCCGCAGCTACAAACACTTGCAATTTATTTGGTTGGTTTATGTTGGTTTCGGCTCATGCAGTGCCCGTCATTGGCTGCTGAGGTTCTTGGAGATGCCGATAAGCGTCGGCGTTACGATAACCAGAAGGCGCCTTCCGACATTCAATCTGTTGTTGCCTGTCGCACATGTTGCATTTTTGCAGGTCCTCCGCATAGGAACATGTAACTTACATTGTTTGACGTCCCCCCTCAGGAAAGGGTAGGGATGTTGAAATGATGATGGAGTCTTGGAGAAGCAAGAAAGAGTCCTCCAGCAACAACCTCTTCTAGCGTACGAGATTGAAACAGCAAACGCATGTAGCGTAGCAGTGGAGTTTGGTGAAAGTCAGGCGGGGAAAACCATCATGGAATTTACCGCTCATTCTATATGGGCAGAGGACGACCGGCCCTCACCGTTTAGTCAATGTTGCATGGAGGCCTTCTTCTCAGAGGAATCTGGGGAGGAGCCCGGGAGCACAGAACAGATTCCAGTTCTTTTTCTTTCTTCGGAAGGCTCGTGATAGCAATTGCTGGCAAGATTTACAGCACACCGTCAGTTTGAGTGATGAAACGTCAGCCATTTTGCCCACTGAGCTTTCTTGGGACCGATCATGCCCACACGTTGGCAAACACAACGTTCGATCGCCACAAACACAAACCCCGCTAATTTGAGGGGCCCGGGCAGATGAAGTAGAGCAAAGATGAGCAAAGCAGAAAAAGGAAATCAGAAGGGGTGGTTGATTGAAGAGCAACCAACCACCAACTTCAATGTTCAACACACCAGTGCTGGGTCACAGATCTCTAGAAGGAATGACTAAGCAAGAGCACAGAAGTCTGGTGTAGCCACTTGCCTTATTTGATGAGGATCGGAATTGCTAGCATTTAAGAAGTGAGGAGGACAGACCAGGAGTTGGCCGTCAGATCCACCAAGAATTTGCAAACTGGCTATGAGGACGTAGGAGGTTGATCGCATGTCCAAGCGGTGAGCAGCCAATGAACTCTTACACAGTCTTACATTCGTGCATTGTTGCAAAATGCCCCACCCTCCAGCATGGCATACCTCCTTTATGATCACTTAGAGAGTAAAATTCTATGCTGTGCACTTGGGTGATTGCTGGAAGGATATCAGAATCTAAATCCGAGATCCCTGATGCTGCTCCAACTGCCACGCAGTTTGAGCAATTTGCTTCTGCCCAGCAACTGCGTTTATAACACCAAACAATCAAACGCTTCCCATCCACAATGTGGGAGCTGACACTGAGTGGAGCAACATCGAGCAACCCAGACTTGGCTTCCCATCCCCTATTTTCCATTCTGTCAACAACTGCACCTGGACCTGCCTGAGAGCGGGAGGCCTTTGCAGTGCCACTTGTAGTAGCTGGCCAGCTGATTTGCCCCAGCATCCACCAGCTCTCCCGTCGACCCGCATGACCCAGGTGGGAGGGTGCTGACAGTGGCTTCAAACCGCCGGGTGATCCTGCCGGTGCCTCATGATGTCGAATGTCGGTTGATGTCAAACGAACGGACGTCGGACAATTAAGCTGTATAGTTTGGTTGCTCAGTTCTTTCCCTCCCATTCTATCCCCTTTTAAGGGAGTCGGCTTGGTGTGTTTGTATGACATGAATTCGCTTCCCAACTCTCCCGACCCCAGAACATCAGCAGGCGAACCGAGGGAAGCCTGTACAGTCGCGTGGATCGCTGAGAGACCCTCATGGAACGTGACGTGGAGCCGGCTTGCCAGTCAGTAAATTATTGGGTGCAAAGGCTGTTGGTATTTTTGGTTTTGGTGACTATGTCAGAAAGACAACTGCCAAAGGGACTAGCCAGGCTAATGCTGAAGCCCTTTTAGCACAAGCAAGTGAGAGCCAACACTGACAATAAGACAATAATGAGATAGTATAGTACAGAATAGCAGTACAATATGCATACTACTACCACCACCACTACTACTACTACTACAGGGGCCCTGTTGTGTTGTTGTTGGCAGTCGGGAGTCCAATATTAACTATCGACTCTGGGAGATGGTGCCATCGACTCCGTTTGCAGAGAGACATATGGAGTCGATCACTGCGCTGCCCTCGCGCTCAGCAGCAAGGTCACGACTTGGGCTCAGCTGACGAAGATCATCGACATGGACGAGTGACCTGGCGGATCCTGCCATGGGTGACCTGCAAAGACCGTGGCATCAAAAAAACACCAGATTTTGCAGATGTGATGTTTGTTTTCCCGAACTGGATCAAACTCTGGGGAAAGTTGTCTTTATTTTCCATATTCCTTCCTGATTCGTTCAGCAAATCCAAAAAGGTAAAGAGCCAAGACCATTTTGCTGATTCAGTAGCGTTCTGGGTGGGAATGTGGTTTCTGAGAATTGGTATCCGCCAAAACCGGGAGAACGTCCCAAAAGAATCACGTGATGAACCTCAGAACAGGCTGGAAGCGAAAGCATGGATGTTCTACAGGACGCCCACCGCGATCAGTTTCTGAACATGTTTCCCAGTGTCGACCCAGAACGTCAATTGCTCCAACCTGTGCACCCCCGACCGTTCCGGAAGAAGAAGGATCGAGAGCACTCGCATCGCTTTGACTGGGTGGCGGGGTGACCTCAAAGCAGCACGAAACACCAACCTGTTCAGGCCTTGCGTGATCCATGTCTACTCAGATCAGCCCGGGCGCGCAGAGTCTCCACGCGCCCGAGTCTCCGGGACCCGGGGGATGGCGATGGGGTGCGCAAGCCCCAGTGAGGCAAAGCATCTAGAACTCTCAACCCCTTGAGGCGTCATGCGCATCAAGACACGAGTTTCTTGATAATTAGTTTGAATTTGCGGGATCTGTTGCATTGGTTGGAGCATCTATTTGGAAGCACCTATTGGACCACTGGTGCCAGATGCTTTGATCTGACAGTTCTGCCTGAGGATTCTTCCATGTCCTGCCTGATGGCAGTCAAGACAGTCACAGACGATGGGATGACCATAACGATGAGCTTTGTGTTCATCCAGAATTTATGAACTGATCCCCTCAGTATGCATTGACCTCCCAGACATCACACCGTCGTTTGATGTGTTGCTTGCTCTCGAGCAACACATCTCCGACTTCTGCCATCCGGCGGAGCTCTAGCTCAGGCGTCACTACTTTGGGCAATGGATGTTTGAGGTAGCTCAGGAGGCGGGCGGTATTCTCGGTGTCGGTGGCGTAGGTCGGTGAAAAGAGGTCATTGAAAGGCAACAGACAGTCCTGGAAATCAACAACCGTTTAGAGCAGGCGTATTATGTGTTGTTTTTCTTTGGCATCGGTTTGGCAGATTTAGATGTTTAATATTTCTGGAGAAGCTACTGTGATTTGGCCTAGCCTATCTTGTTGTGTGCCCCAGGCTCGGGTCCCATGTTTGGTCTCCTATTCCTAGTCCCCACTTTTAGGAAGCCTAGGCAGCTCACAGATCACCCCTCGAGCGCTGAACGTGAGGTGAAGTTGGCACATCTCAATGTTTTCACAGCAGACGAGGCCCAGCAGACCCTTGTGGGATGTGGGGTTCATGTTCCCAGAAGATGCAGGGTTCCAGTAATGCTGACCCCCCCCAAAATAAGGTCTTGTCTCACGGAGCCAACCTTTGTCCTTGTGGAGCCTGGCAAGATCGTTGCTGAGAACCCATGAAGGAGCACCCTTTGGCTCACGTTCCATGGAAGTGGAGGTGGCACCACCTGTTTGATATTCGGATTTTATGGTCATCCAAGGGGCCATGCCATGCCATGTAGCCATGTAGCATGAGTCGAAGTGTACATAGGGATCATAGGGCCCGGGGTCTACAGCCAATGATCCGATCGAAAGCTTCAAACTGTGGTGGCTTACATGGCTTTCATGCTGGACGTGGTGGCTTGTGACCGCAAGCAAAGCCCGTGTGATAGAGAAAGTACTGTGATAACCCTTTGGCGCCCAGAAAGCAGACAACAAACAGGACATATATAGACACATACGTAGTGACGCTTAACACATGATCTTCAGATCCTTAAAGCCTTAATCAGTGGATACCCTCCGGTGTCACGATCCTCGCTTCCTCGGAATTCCACAAGGCTCGCGAAGTTTTGGTGTTTATTGGAACATTCGGATGGTGGAGGGCTACCGGATGTGTGATTTGCTGCAGCATACTAAGCTCAACAGCAGAAGACAGGCTTGGACACTTCCCCTTCCAAAAGACAATCCAAGTGTCGAGTGTCGATCACGTGGTTTCAATCATTTCCCCCAAGTCACGCAGA